TCTGAGGATTAACTGTATGCACAACCCTGGCCTTACTTCTTCTTAATCATCCACTTGAAAAATTTCCAAAGAAACCCAGGCATGGCAGGAAGTGGCTTTGGCAGCACCTCAGCTGGCGATCTGCCCTCTTAGTCAGTAACGAACTAAGTCCTGATGTGGTGCTAGGAGGATCTTTGGGCAAAAAGTAAATCTGAGGCCCCAGCTATCTGCTGGCATTTTGATACCGTGTTGCTGCTTTCTGCCAGAGGCAAAAATGCCTTGATCTGGCCTCACCAACAAGTGTTGTTAATAAATGCATTCTGCTGATGTAAAATTCCCTGCTGAAGTCGGTTCGTGATCCCCCATCACTCACATATTTCATGTGGACTGTGTACGTTCAAATTCCTTCCCTAGAAGGTGGCTATTCTTCTGTTACACATCATAATAAAAGTTGAAAATGAAAGGCCCGACATGACCCATGCAGGTCCCTGTACAATTATATGAATGCAATTATATGAAGTTGTCCCTTCTGAAAATACACACCCCTAAGGCTGATTCTCTAACTCCTTGCAAGCCCCTTGTGTACCCCTTTTCCTCCAAGTCCTCAGCATTAGAGCAAAAGATTATTTCAGGAGTGTCTTTTTATCTGAAATGTGTCCCTCTCTACAGGAAAGAATCTGCTAGAAGGTGCTATAAAAGACAGTCATGAATCATTGACCCATATTAAGAAATATTTCTATATCTCCTCTCAGGCAAGAAAGAAAAACTGAGATAACACTCAAGGTTGTTAAAACTCAATCTTCTCCTTTGTATTAGATAGTACATGTAAACAGGACAAGGTTATGAAAGAAACAGGTGGCCCCAACGTACAGTGCTTTAGGGGAAAAACAACATTAAAAATTACACTCAGTTGGGCTAGAAAGAGTTATTTGCAGCAAGCACTTACACTACAAGAATGTACAAATACCCCAGCACGGTTTAGTGCCATTTTGCTTCCAAAGCTGTGCAGAGCCCTGTGCACATGCACAAAACTGAGGCAGCTTTGCAGGCTTGGCAGGTGTCTGTCTGCTGTCTCACATGTACAGCATGCAGTGAAAGTAGGAAGGAAAACAGACTGCGTGCAAGATCAGGCCTTGTGGTCGTGGTGGCGTTAGCAGAGCGGGCAGGTTCTGTGGTGATAAGCAGAACGTGTCTGTGTAGACAGATAAATTACAAAGCTGACTGTCACCCACCGAAACTCAGAGGGACAGGATCTGGAGGAACAGGACCTCACACTGTTCAAGGTGCTTCTGTAGCACAAGGATGAGTACTTAGAAAAGCAACATAGGGTCTATTTTACACAGTGTTGTGCTGTTCATTCTCACTTGTGGCTGAACTAAAAATGTTTGCTTTTCTTGTGTTCATTGTAAGACTAATCTATTTCCATTTGTCTGTTTTCTTACTGGGGTGCCAGAAGGTGCTCCATGGACCATTCTCCTGTGATCCATAGACACCACTTGAGAAACGCTGCTGTGGAGATGTGCAAGTGAGAAAAGACATCTGACTCCCAACTCTCTGAAGGGACAAGTAGAGAGACCAAGCTAGGAAATGCACTCAAAATTCATTCCATTGTTTCACTGAGGTTAGTGGTATTACCTAAATTGACAAGATCACACAAGCTTCGTTTCTGAACCTCATTTCTCCCATTTTGACTGGTCTATAACCAACAGGCAGGCTTTATACCTATCCTCTTCATGGGCAGAGGTGAAGTCATCCTTCTTGAACAAAGGGCAATTTTGTTTTTTAAGTCACTAGCTGAACAGGCAGCCTTACCTAGAGTTTATTTCAGACCTTCACTTGACTAATTAAAGATGAAAATGAACTACAAAAGAACTGTAGGGAAATACCTAACAACTATGAACTTGACTCCACTGGTGAATCTGATGACCTACTGCTGCAAAACAAAACATGCCGAGTTGAGTGGATGATTGTGAAACAGTTTTACAGTAAGACAAACCCCTTGTGCTTGCACACTAGGATACGGATAGACAGTACTTAGATGTACCTTGGCAATGCTTGAACAAACCCGAAACATAGAATAATTTGTGAATCTGAAAACTGAAAGGAACCCAAAATACTTTGTCCGGGGATTTGCTCTGAGGCTTGTATCACTGACAGTGGTACTCCACGGTATGTGCAGGAGGCCTATTCTCTCCTTTGGAGTGCTGTTGTCAGCTGAGATCACTGTGGCTTGATTATGGGGCTCAGCTGTGATGGGCTCACCTTAGGTAAACTCATTCTACAGGCTCAGGCTGAGAGCTGCAAAATTGTCTCCCCAAGGTAGCTACAGTAAGGTGCTGCTAGAAATCTGCAGCAGCAGCCCTAAACCGGATGTTTGCTTTTTAAAAAAGTAGGCTGATTAAAAATGGTGAATATAAACTCTTAAATTAAAATACTGCAATTCCCATCATGAGGCAAAACCTACCCAGTTTATTACTGTCTGTTCTGAGAAAAATGGAAGTGTGGAGTCTCAATTCATGCAAAAGAAAATGTGTTCATTGAAAATGACCTAAGCCTTTTTTTTTTTTTCCAGATTAAACCAGGGGAAAAAAACCCTTTTGAGTATGTGGTGCCAGAAGCTAGACGATGTACACCAGTGAATACAAGTAAATTTAGATTTAAAGCTAAAAACTCTGCTGTACCAGAGCCATTTGGTACCAAATGATACCAAATGATACACGGGACTATCAAAATGGGCATTAAAACTGACCCCACCATAATATGACTGCCTGAGGCAAGGCTTTCAGATGCCAGGTACAAAATTTACAGCCTCCAGAGAAGTGAAAAATGCCTTATCATATCCTCCTCTGTCCTGAGTTGCTCTGGGAGTTAGAAGGACTTCAGGACAAGCTCAGCAGACATGAAAGTTGTTGGGTGTACAGAGCCTCCACTGCCTAAGAGCCATATGCTCATTTACCACTGCCAGCCTACATACCCCTAACTTTAACTGTGCCTCAGATTCAGCACCAGAAGCAAGCAGCTGCTGAGCTAAATTCTAAGTTAAGTGGGTGTTTCAGTGAGACTTTTCCTTAATATTCTAAAAAATGCTTGAGGGTTTTCCAATAGATACACTTATGTCATCTTAGACTTGAATAGTCCTATTTTATTGTAAATTTGCACATACATTATTTTCCAGTGGCAAATAAATTACCTGTAAGAATTGCATTTTAGTACAAAGGGAGAGCTGTGTTATCCTTTAGGCATGAAGAACCTTCCCCCCTCCAAAAAAAAATTCACCAAGAAAAAAAAGTAGTTTTGCATGGTTAGATTTTGTCTGGAATATTAAATCTAGCTGAAATTATGTTTGTTCCTTAAAAAGAAATAATTCTTATTTGACAGTCCTTGTGGACTTATTTTGATCCAAAACTTCATAACTTTTTTCTGAAAGAAATCATAAAATTAAAGACATTCACATCAGTGTTCAATAAACAGCTTTTTGTGGCAGAGAATGTATGAAAGTAGGTTTCATCCCCCAACTTGTTAATCCAAAACCACTTTGCCGGTAGAGTAGGAAGTTTTAATAAAAAACCTGAGACTCCTTGAAGGTGTCACTCAGATAAAATCTTTCTAATTCTTGCTGGACCCATCCAGACAAAATCGATAGAAGGCTGTATTTAAAGCATATGTGAAGCTTTCACTACCTCTGCTTTACTTGCGCTTTAACAATCATCAACTGTCTTGAGGTCAGGAGGGCTTCTTTGATGGTGGATTCGCTTCTTCAATTTCAGCTTTTAAAAAAACTACGCAGCTATGTGAAGATCCATATCAGTCCTGCACTTTCAAAACAGGAAGATAAGCAAGAAGCAAAATGTTCTCGAAATCTTGCCATTGCTAACCTTGCTCAAATGGGTGAGAAAGGGAAGAAAAAAAGCACAGTCTCTGTGCTGTACAAAAGACACTATTACTCATCTTTGCTGAATTTGTGCTTTGCCTCTCACTCCTCACTGCCACAGCTGCTTGCTCGCAGCATGGTGTTGGTGGATGCCAAATGCAGCATGGCACAGCAATAATGAGAAATAAGCTACCAGGGGAAAATTATTCAAAATCACTTTGCAAAGGAAGTGGTGAACGTAGAGGATGACTTGGAGGTGGGGGAGGTCCACAGGAAAAGGCTAATTCTTTTTTCCTTCTCAGAGCTGTGAAACATTCAAGTGCCAGGGGCCTGGGAGTGTTGAAGGTACTTTCCCAGTAGTCGTACAGAAATTTCACTCTCCCTTTACTTCCTTTCCCGTCAGTTGTGTCCTCCCTCCATCCCTAATTCCCCAGAGCTCCAACCCCAAAACACTTTTTCACAATTCTTTCCACTCTTAAGGAACCAGTCACCCACTCCCACATAGCTGGAACTGCACCCAAGGTAACAGCCCTTTTCCTGCCACCTTTTTGTCCTTCTCCCTTCCACAGAGAAAAATTAGACAGTATCTGTGGTTACCGAAAAGGCTGGTATTTGACCAAACAGATCTCTTGCAAAGACTCCAGGGGAGTCAAACCCTTGAATTGTTTAATAAAGACTAAGAAATAATTATTGCCTAATGGCCTCATATAACTTAAAATAAACCCATTAACTGCCGACTTACAAAATATCTCCTAATCTGTGTAAGCTGAGACAGTACACAGCTTCCAGAGGATTTAATTTCTTTCTTTCATCTACAGAAAAAATAATTAGGACCAGCCCTGCCCAGAATGATATGCACTAAAGGGACATTTGGTAATTGTCTCCTAATAATATTCCAGGCAACATGCTTAAAACTAATTAGTACAGAGGCTGATGTTGTTGAAAAGGAACACACAAAAGACAGCCATATCATGTGAAAAACTGCAAAGTCACAACTTTGGAACTGATATTGTGGTAAGGGTTTAATATCCACACGGGTAGACATGATGGCCACATACCCTTTCTAAGATCTTCAAGAAAATACAGATGAAACAATCACTCTGCATTGCTTCATGAAAAAAATTATATTCTTATAAAACATAAAATCTCTCTCTTGCATGCATCTACTGCTTTAAACAGTATTTTCATTGGTCTGGATTACATTTATTTGAAACTTTTCAAGACAAAGAATTAACACAAGCTGATCACAGGGTCTGACCTCCTCAGCATTTTTAGAAGAGATCCTCATACTTGCTAGGCACCAGGGATAGACCGAAAACCAATTTGTCTGTCAGCACGCTGAAGGAAGGGCTGGGTGCTGTGCTCTCTAAATGCTGTTGGTTCAATGAGCCAAGAATAGTCCTGCAGGTCTTAGTGGGTTGATCTGAAATTGAATCAAGCTGATGTCTGCTTCTGGGGGGAAGCTGACTTGATCACCAACTCCCAGAGCATCTGTGGAGCCTATGGAAGGCTGGCAGAGCAGAAAAGGTCACATAGCATTCACCTCAGCCTGGCTTAGAATTTGCAAGCAGAAAAAATTATCACAAATACTCAACATGACTATCCTGCTGAATACTTCTTTCCCACTAATAGCTGGTCTTACTGTTTATCCTCAATGTGGAATCAAGTTTATTTTGGAAGCTTATTTTACAGTTCAATGTGTTTTTAGCAATACTATTGCTAGTTACAATTTAGAGATAATATTTTCTATCATTCTGATTAATCTGTTAAATAAATATGCAAATATATCAAGTGCTCTGTATAAAAATACATACACACAACAAAAAACCCCTCATATAATAAAATCAAGATTAATAAAAATATGTACTATATTACACATATGAAACGTAGTTTTGAAACTATAATGAAACAATCACACATGAATCACAGGACATAATCTAAAAAGAACCAGCATATATATAATAATGGCAGTGCCTCTGTAAAGACAACTTGAGCATCTCCCTATTTAAAAATATATAAAAAACCCAACCAGTGTTGTCTGTGCATTTATAGTTCCTGGACATAAGGTAAACTAGGAAGAAGTTTGTGAGATTCTTCATTCAACATCTGTATAGGGAGATGAATAACATCACAAACTTTTTCTTTTTCTAAAGGAGAAATTTAGGCTACAAGACAATGAAATATCTCCTTTACATTAAGACCTATATTCATTTAGGACTTAAAGAGAGGAATAATTCTTACTCTGGATCTCCATACTTACTGAAATGAGTACCTAACACCAGTTTAAACATAGCCTTCAACAGAACATTTTGATTTGTAATGACAAATAGAAAAGCTTGCTTAAAAACATCACAGGGATTAAACAAAAACCAATGCACTGTTCATAGATGAAATATGCTGACCTACATAAAGTCAGACAACATCCTATGCATATTTTAAAACCTCTGCTTGTCCTGGGACCTTTTGCCCAGGCGTAAATTGCCCTGAGAAGATCTGCCTGCAGATACCAGGGCACTGAGCATCTCAGTGAAACACATGGGAAACTGCTGGAGGACTGCAATTCAGAAATATAATCGACAGTCTTGTGCTTTATGTTCCAGTAAAGATCAGTGCGAGCTAAAGTTAGTATTTAACCAGCTCAACACTCATCCTCCAGACTGTTTCAGATTGAGAACATAAAATAAAATGCTTTAGCAGAACAGTTTCAAAGACAGATGCTATGGTCAGTGAACAGGAACACTTGCATAACCCTGCTACAGGCCATCCCTATCCAACAGCTGACGCAGACCACAGGTTGCAATTACTTAAATTGTTTTTACTTGCATTTTCTTGGGGCAGCCCAATTAGAAGTTATCATTCCAAACTGCTTGCTTAAAAATAGCACAGACCACTGGTAGTAAATAAGTTTTTTTCTGACAATTCATATCAATATAATGCACAGCATCATAGCTTAATACAAATACTTTACATAACAGACACAAAAGGACAAAACACAAGCATATAACAATGCAGCTTAGCTACTCTACTATATTACATGGCTGGGAGAGTTTCCTTTCATTTTCTTTGACCTTTTCTGTAGAATTTGAATTTCTGGTACCGATATGCAAGCAATGTTTCTTTTTAAAAGCAGATGGAAAAAATGTAGATGAAATAGAATTCTGAGGAAATTAGTGAGATCATAGAAAAGGAACTTTTAAAATATCAGCAAACTGGTGTGACATAATAATAATAAGGGAAACAATTTTACTAGGCTCAGCATCTCCTAAGTAAAATGGAATAAAAAGTAAAATATCTAAAATAGAGACCCATTCTTCAAGAATAAAATACTGTCATCTTCCCCAATGATCTCCAAATGCTTGATTTGTGCATGTGTGCTAGAGCTGGGGTCATTTTGTTTCATTCATTATCATAACTAACAGACTCATTAAAAACATGCACAAACTTGGACCAATGAATGAGGGAGGGAGAAGACCAAAGAATATCTCAAAAACTCAAGGATAATTGTACAGGTTGCTAGGATGATAAAGTATAGAACTTTATTATGTATCAGTTCACGTTTTCATCTCTTTATTACCCCTCCCGAGAAGACTTGCTGTATGCCCATAGTATCATTTAGAAATAGAGATAAATAAATTTTGTCCTTCTGGGTTTCCCTCATTGCAGACCAAGCCACACATAATTACAAAATGTCACTTTCTGTTTATAGTGGCAGATTCTGAATGCACCCTCTGCTCTTCCTGGCTGGAAGGCATTTCTGAAGGATTCTCATGTTTCAGACATTATAGAGCATGCCTTTTGGGTTTAGACTTGATTGTCACTCTTGACATTTTTTCCTCACTTACTCTTGTATCGTGGCAAGTTTAGTACCTTGTATGTTTCTAAGATGGAGTGACTGGATACTTCTTAAGCTGCACACAGTGAAGACCTTCCATCTGGGGAATAATGACGTAAACTTGTATATCTCCTAACATCCAGGACACAGTGAAAGTCCTCTGTGTAGGGACTGGGAACTGAAAGCATTATGCAACTCTTGGGGCGTATTTCAGAAAGCACATGTCAATTTTTTAACCCTGGCAACATTGTAAAGTGATTAAAAAGGAATAAGACTTATGTTTATTTTCAAAAGACATCAGTAGCAGAGTGCATCTGTGAATTCCTGTTCAAGTTCCACATGATTTTGATTTCCCCAGCCTGATCTACTTGGCAACATGGTACCATTACACTCCAGTCTTCATGTCAAGGTCCTGATGATTTTGTGTTTCATTAACAGTCAGGAGTTCATCACATGCTTGTGTTCGGTCATTTGACCGTTCTTTATGAACCAAGTGCACCATTTCTTGTGATTTGCTGATGTCTCCATTTAATGCACTTGACTTCCTGTCCTCCACTGCCCCTTTCCCGTTGTTAATCACTAGCTTTTTCTTCTGCCCACATCTAGAAAGAAATAAAAATAAAATACTATTAATAGAGACTAACAGAAATTAGAAAAAAATTGAAGGTCAATATTTAGGAGAAGGTGATTGGAAAATAAACTTGTGTCTGCCAGTGCAGACTTACACTATGCAAAGTTTCTCCATATCTCATATTTTAGTTTTGAAAGTATCCAAATGCATAACATTTGTCAGAAGCTCACTTATTCAATTTATATCTATTTTTCCTACATATAGGAATAACATTCATTACTGAATGCCAGAATTCTTTTTCTAACCTTTGAATATATCCACATTTATGAACTTTGTATATATCCCACTATAAGGACACACCTTTGAAAATGCATGAGTCCTCGAGGGAGTAGAAAATTCAGATCAAGCTCTCACCTCATTATACAAAACAACTCTCTTTTTCTTTGTATTAGCATGTCAAGCCTAGAAGCCAATGAGCAGCAAGGAAATACGGAGCACTACTGCTGCTATCTGCAGCACAGTTCCTTTTGATGTTAAGGTAGGAAACAAGTACTGTGCCTTTAAAGTTACACTCACTGCAGTGATGCCCAGTAAACTTTATATATAGCTCTGAATGAAAACACACACACACACACACATTCCTTTAGAAAGTCACCAGTCCAAAACTGATGCATGCTGGTCACCATGGGCTGCATATTCTTCAATGCAGTAAGAAAGTACTAGTTACAGCTCTCAGGTTTGCTTCAGACTGTTAAGATGACTCTATGGCTACACACTGTTGAACATTCTACATTTCCTCAAACAGTCTTGTGTAAACTGAATATACAAAGCACAGCTCTCCTAAGAGGGACAATGTCTCTGTGAAGTTGTACTTTTAAGTGCTTCTTCTTAAAGGAAGCATATTTTGCCTGAATTACTAATTTGGCAGTTCGATTATACTATTATGCTTCAAAAATACTATTTTCTTCATGCTTACTTTTTCATTTTCATAGATGAGGGTTATTTTATCTGAAATACCTCAGTTCCCTGTGCTAATGTTACACACACCCTTGGGAATGATTTTCTGCTCTGTAGCCATAAAACGCCAAAGGACACCAGCAAGGAGCTGTGGAGATCCACAGCCTCTTCAAAGAGCAGCTCAGAGTGCTTTGCAACCAACAGACTAGGAAAAAATTTGCTCACTATTTCCTGAACAAAAATCTCCACATACTATATAATTACTACTCCAATAAAAAAAAAGAGTTCAAATTCAACATTCAAGTAGCATTCAATAGTTACTCTGTTAAAGGGCTCAATTTTAACATTCAAGTAGCAAAAAGCTATTGAAGACAATCGAGAAGTAACCCCAGAACAGCGTCCAGAGAAAAGAAAGATGTAAGAACTTTAAAGCCTATGCTTTAGGTTAAGGTTTTTTCAAATTTCCTGGCTAACTTAGCACAGATCACTGCACCTTTTCATTGCTCAGTTTCTTCATCTGTAAAGTAGAGTAAATAAAGCTATTGAGAGCTCTGATAGCAGTGTTAGAATATATCCTTGTGACTGCCAGCTATGATACTGACTCTTGTTCAGAAGGAACAGATTAATCCTGGGATAGCAATTGTCCAGTACAGCCCTCCACACTGTACACGGACAACACTGTTAATGGTGGAAGATTATACTCAGCTCATCCTGTGGTTGCTACTGTCTATGTGCATCTCACGGTTTCTCTCTCAGTGAACAGGATTTTCCCATTAATATCTAACAGAAAGAGAATAATTTTCTGTGATCTATATACACTTAATTTCCATTTCCAGGACCAAATGGTTTATACAGCTGTTTATACAGCTGTTTATACAGCTACTGATGTCACATGATTCCATGTGAGTGTGGAGGCTGGTGTGTGACCTGTGCAGGACATGGTCACCTGGGCTCTCACACCCCAAGTCACAGAGCGTTGCAGAGGATGCTCTTTCCTGTATTATATTTTTCTACTCTTTGACCAAGCTTACCTTCTCCGACTGTTAACAGCAATGCACACTGCAAGAATCAATACAAGTGCCACAAGAGCAGCCACTATGATCAGCCATTCTATAGGGAGACATGAGGAAGGGGAGAAAAGCATGTTAACGTCGTATCTCATGTAGTTTTGCAAGAATCTCATGTAGAACTGCAAGAACACAATTGCTTCTACTTTCATTAAACTGTCACTCTTTTCCTGCTTTGGATGGATATTTGTTCATTTTACAAAATGTTTCTGTGTAAATCAAATAAATTTTCATCACTCAGCTATACACAGGCCAACTCAGATTAAATATCCCATCATTGTTATCACCCGTAAGTACTGCATTTTGGTGGGCATAGGTGAAGAGGAGCTGTATCACTGACTCACTCCAAGAGCAAAAGAAAAGGTTTAGCATGACACATCTACAAGAAGTAGGACAACTTCTAGTACATTTTTAGTAAAGGAGGTTTCAAGACCTTCCCAGTAGCCTCTTCTCTGCTACCATTATAGCCCTACTACCATTACAGATGGAGGTCCTCTACAAAGAGCTAACTCCTTGATTTTGTTTGTTTGAAACAGGTCTCCCTTTTTTAACAAAACTCTTACACTTTATTTGAAACAAGTTACTACTTCTAATTAGTTAATTATTATTGGTCTGTGGTGAAAAATTGATAAGCATTCTTTTTGTAGCGTGGTCTTCTTATATCTCCCTTCAGTTTTCTCTGAAAATGATGGGTTCTTCAGAAGGTGCTTCAAAGGTTACCTTTCCAAATTTTTCTGTATGCTCTTCTCCATTTTTTTGCCTGTGAGTGAACAATGCCTTCAACTGAACACAGAGCTTCAGCTCTGGACTTGCTAGGTCTAAGTAGAATGAGATAATTACTTTCTCTGTTTTAAAAATTACTTTATTGCTAATATGTCCCAGAATATATTTGCATTCTTTTGCAACTGTATCATGGTGTTGGCTTCTTTTTATTTTCTTTTATTCTGCAAACTCTATTCTGCAACACCTGGCTCAGCCATCATTTTTACTGAACATTCTCATGGATACAATACTGTGTATAGATCTTTAATGAGATTTGCCTGATTTCTTATCAATTCATAAAAATATTTGAATCTTAATCCCATTCTCCAAATGCATGGTTTCTCTCATCTCAATATTGCTGGAAAATTTTATGAGTTATAATACGTTCCATTTTTTAGACTACTAGTGAAGTGCTGAATATTATTTGATTCATAACAAAGCCTGAACAATTGTACTTTACCTCATTTTCATCTCTTACTTTAGTTCATACGAATGCAATTCTGTACTTATATTTTTAAAACATGACTTCACAAACCTACCTGGTACACGGGCCGACCTTGGCTGTGAATCTATTTTTGTTGTGGCAGTCTCTCCAGGGAAAGTAGTGGATTCATAATGTCCCTTGCGTGGTCCTTCATTACCATATATACTAGAGGTAGAGCCTAAAGACAAGAAAAAAACCTCTCCATTAGGCCAAATATGCTTAGCAAGTATTTAACAGCAAGGTACAAAGACTATGACTTTCACAATTAAAAAAACATATTCTGGGAAGTTCATGCTGAAGCAACTTATAGTACTGAAGTATTTATACTGAAAACTATTACATATAAGTATCATACTCATCTGAACTATGGCTAGCTTTAGTATTTTGAAAAATAAAACTCATGGCTTTCCCCTCTTGTCTCCCTTATATGTTTCTTTTTTTCTGGTGAATCAAAATGTGCTTATGATTGCCTAGAAATTTTCTGAATAAAATGTAAAGACATAGGTGTTGGCAACTTTTTAAAGAGGCTTTTGTCATACAGGTCAAACATCTTGTCTGTTCCATGGGGAAAACAGAATGAGAAAGTAGAGAGAGAGAGAATTTTAGTTTTTTATTTAAACCTAAATGGTTTAAATGGAGAAATTTTGAAACTATTAATTCTATTCCGACACAGGATAAAACTGAATGTTAAAACTCTAATACTCACATTAAATAGAATGACAGCTCTCTGAATGGTTGTAAATTATCAGCAGAATATAGATACAGTCATTTCATTTGGGACTACTACTTCCTTATCACTACAAAAAATATATTACAGATTTCCACTTCTCTGAATTCTTCTAGAGTCTTACAGAGTAAATTAAGCACTGACTCTATTCAGCTGTAAAGTTCTTTTTCTTTAACACACATTGGAACTAATTTCTATCCAGCATTTCTGATCTCCTTTCCTAGTAACAGCTGGCAAATACAAAACCAAGAAGAATGTTTTTCCCCTCTTGCTTTGCCAGAAAGCAGCTCATGAATCTTCCAGATGTTTTCATTATTTTTATTAACAAGAAACTTATTGACTGGTGTGTTGTTTGGTGATATCTCACAACAAAGGACAGAGCAATAATTCAGCAGCTAAGGATCCCAATCTAGTTTCAAAGAAAGCTGACCAAGAGGAACATACTAACTTGTCTACCCCACATCTCAGCAGACTCTTTAAGGTGCTTTATATCATTCTTGAAAAATGCCAGAGCTTTTCCTTCACAAAGCCCCTTAGAAAGGCAGCATTATTAAAATGTGTGTGCTCAGAGAATGTGCTACATTTGCTTTTCCCCTGAGCACTGAGAAGAAGAAGTAGGATTCAGTTGTGTCCTCTGCTGTTTTGGTCTGGGAAGGTGCTTGCAAGTGGCAGGGAGGGATCCTCAAAAGCTCTCTGCATTTTATTTTGGTAACATACTAGGGTTTTTTCTTTATGGACACTTATTTTTGGGGTTCCTTCGGGGGACTGATTTGTTATTCTGCGGACACTTGGACACTTAGTGTGATGTCAGACCACAGCTTAAACACTGCTGTAGAAAAAAAGCAAGAGAAACAAAGTAGTATAGTATATCAAACCATCCGTCTGTTCAGAGAAAGTCTTTAACTGTAGCCTGCCAATATATTCAAGAATCTTTTCCATTCCATTACACCAATATGAGGCAACATTACAAATGAATGAACCATTCAGTAAATAATTTTTTTTTTATAAAAATGGTAGTGTCCTAGTAATTCCCTTGTGTTGTGTTTTTAAAAAGCATCAAGAGAAAGTAAATGAAAAAAGGCAGAGTTTTAGGAAAATGGCCTTTTGCCAGGGCACTGACAATGCAAAGATTCGATGCGGATATTCACATTGAAAATTATCTTCAAATCAGTTCTTACATGTTCTGTGTGCTCAAAACAAAAAGGTAGCAAAAATCTTTTCATAATGTGTAATGTCTGCACATAAAATTAAGGAGGCAGCTTGGATTAACTGAGTGAACAGGGCCAGTGAAAGTCAAGAAATGAACTTGTTTTAGTAGGAAACCATTATGAAAAACAGATTTATCTTTCCAATAAAATTCTATTTTGCATTTATACTGCTATGCCTATGTCAAAATACTATAACCAAGCAATTTTGACAGAGTTGAATTTACTGGGTTTATACAAAATTTTTGGAAAAAAAAAAGTAGGCCAAGTTCCATCTCACAATGTATTAATTAATTATTAATAACAGAATTATCTTTAAAGCGTTTGCTGTATAATGCTCTAAAAACATAGGTACCTAACCTTCCTTATGTGCAAAGAATGTCCACAGAGCATTGGCCAAATTCTACCCTGGAATGGTTCCACTAACTTCCAAGAAAGTGCATGAAAACAGTGTTTGGATTAGCAGCTTTTGGAAAAGAAAAACTAAAAATCCCTTACGGTTAGGATGATCATTTGTATGGAACCTACATTTGGAAATAAGGAAAAGTCCCTTAAGTTTGCAAAAAATTAGCATGTGACCACACATAAAAAAATACCAAGGGATACATGTAGTATAATAAGCAAACACTGTTATTGTTAATTGCACTAACTTTATCAGAAGAATAACCCTTTAATAAAAAAAAAGTTGTTCTCAAATGAAGTGTCAGTTACAGTCCAGTAACAGTAAAGAAAGGCAAAATGTTATCACAAATGTATTGGCATGAGGAGAAAGTTTAGACTTCTTCACGTCAATAACTGTGTTACCACATACTGATAACACAAGGTTATTTGCAAACAACTATTTACAACCTTTTAGCAAATACCCTTCATGACATCTTATCAGCAGGTTATAAACAATAGCAAACCCGCAAAAGGAAATCATACTATGACAACAATTTACAATTACGGTTAGTACACATGGGCTTAGACAATAGTCATTGTCCACAATAATAACTTACTGACGGATAAATTAAAATGTTCATAATTCATTGTTCTTACTAGTAGTAAGAGGAGTCTGCAAGCGATTAAGATGGTCTTCAGTGTCTGGAAGAATTGCAGGTATC